GAATATTAAGATGCTATATGAAAAAAAAATAGTGACATAGTGTGAAAAAATACTACAAAACTGTACAAAGATTATCCCCAAACTGCACCTAAAAACAAGACTCACACCAATTCTTGCCATCTTTCCCAACATTCAATATATTGAAATAAAACAACTGAAGAATTAAGGGGGGGGAATACTATGCTATCAAATAAAGTCACAGACTAAAACCCACTTCCACAGTTACATGTTGTTCCTCTGCTCATCTGTCACTCAAAAGTTAGTGCCTCTGAAGAGAAACAGAGCTTCAATTTCTCTAGAAATCTGTAAAAGAGATAGAGGCTCCAAATTAAAATGGTCTATAGAGGGAGGCGGGGGAAGCCAAGAACAGGTAACAGGATTTTCCAGGCTTTATGCCTCATAATAGGTCATTTCAGGCCAAAGAGAGGGTGTTCATTGCCTGTAGAAGTCAGAAAAGGTAACCCATTGCTAACCCATTTTACAGCACTAGCTATTGAAAGTTGCTTCAAATATAGTTAACATTGTTATTTAAGGTATACTGCACGGTCATCAGTCATCTCTAACACGCTCAGCACTCATGCGCTAATTTCTTCATATTTGGATTGAAAGTAATACATATTTTCCACTCCATCTCCAATTTTCAGTCAAGAGATCTGAAAAAGTAAAGATAGTATTTCAGTGACTTAGGAACAGAGACATTAACTTAGTAGAAGTTCCCCAGCATCGAGCTCAACTCTTACTTCCTTTATTTTCAAAGGCAAGAAAATTTCATAGTTAGACCAGCTGAAAATAAGTATTTGGCCAGCTCTGAGTTTACATAACCCATCTACAGGAGCTTCATAGATTCAATGAAGTGCTAAGGATGTTTTCTTCATCAAAGTAATCCTATACCAAGACTTCTAAAATTCTCCTGTAACTGCATTAGAACATCATCAGGGAATTGAAGAAACTCAGAAAACACAAAAGGGTACAAACAAGCTTTTTCGAGGTATGGAAGGTGGATACTATTTCACAAAATTCAACAGCAAACACATAACTGAGGAGTGCTGGTATGACCACGAGGACATCCTACTTCCACGTTTCTTCTTCCCTCGATCGAGTATCACTAGTTGATTCTCAGGCCTGCTCTGCCCCATTCACACTCCTGTTAGTCAGTGGAGCAGTTTACCTCAGCTGTAATGCTTCTGCATATGGAATGAAATAATCATAGATTCAGTGAAGCTAAGGATTGTCTAATAAAAAAATTTTTAAAAAGCATAGATGTTCTCCACTTTTTTCCACAAAGTTCTGTGCAGAAAGCGATACTGCCTACAGTAACTACTCTGTATGCGCACAGCAGTGATATGCCACAGTGCCTTACAGACCTCACATTGCAATAGTGAAATTTAGCTCAGCTGAAAGTATTTCTTCTTCTGTATTGAACATTCCTCTGAAATACATGTTCGGCCTCAAATGACAGTGCTGTGCCCGTTACCAATGCTCTTCTCCCCCCCACCCCCATAAGAAAGCCAACTACAAAATTCCTGTTTCAAAATGCACCGTTTTGTCAAAAGGATCTTTGTTGCTATCATCAGCATACTGGCAGGATGGAAAATACAAGAAAGAGAATATATACTGTTAAAAAGAAAACTATTCTAAAAACAGGAAGAGTGCAATCCCCTAAAATAGTACAGAGAGGTACATCCCTAAACACACAAGCTTGAAGAAGCATAGCCTGATATTCCTACACGTTTAGGTTGGGATTTTCATGAGAATTAAGCATAGTTAATTCTGTTCTACTCAGGAGCTGGTAAGCTAACACTCTGTCTCTAAAAGTTCTGCTCAGCCTCCCATCCCCTTTAATGGACACAATCAATCCAACAGATGCTTTTTGAAAAATCACCTCTAAAACAAGATTTGTTTTGAAGCAACTGCTGCAGATTGAAGCACACAACAAGAAAAGCAGGACGCACAAATTCTAATATTTCTATCAGTTGCATCAACTTCTGTAAGATGAGTTGAAAGCTCACTCTTCCTCCCCACACCCTGTCTCTGTCATCTCGTTATGCAGGAGCCAGTCTCATTTCCCTGTTTCTGTAGGTAGTTGTTTGAAAGATAGGAGGGGGGAAACATGCAAACACAAAAAACTTCAAAGGAAGAAAAATCACAGGCACCAGCAGAGACCCCCAAGTCAGGGGCAGCTTCCCGAGCAATTTTTTAATGAAACTTTATTGCAGCTGACAGAATCTCTCCGATTACGAGGCGTCCTCAAACCCGGAGAGCCACACACCACCACCACAACCCGAATTAGAGCACCTAGCCAAACATATCTGTGAAAAAATAATTTACAAGCACAACCGATGCCACACCCTGAGCAAGCAGCAGAACTCGCACTACAACAGAAGTCCCTGGTAATAAGCACATTAAATGAAAACTCTATCTAATTCCTGTTTTACATGATTATAAACATGATCTCACCCTGCGCTACCATAAATGGTTCGCAGCAGCACAGATAAAGCAGTCACCACTGTTATATCAGTATCGGTTTTCTCCCAGTAAGTCCACGTTAAACACGTTGCTCTATTTATTTGCGATCTCACCATGCCACTCCGTAATACAGTCTTGACCTATTTTCCAGATGCTTAATTAATCTCTTCGCTGGCTGCCACGCATCTTAGACAGTTACTGTGTGAATTTTAAACTTAACTTATAGAAACCTTTAGCAATCACCTCTGTTATGGAATTATTGTTATGTCAGAAAGTAAGTCCCCAGAGTCCAGCCAAGCTTTTCTACTTTGTGTGAAATCAACCAGAGCATAAACTTTTTGCAAATGATGTAATGGGAGGTAATACTGGGGGGGAAAAATAATCACAGAAATATGCACTGTTATCAACAAGTGCAGCTTTACATAATATAATTGCCTCTCGTGTTAATAACACGTTTTCCCACAATTTAAAGATACTAAAGTAACTGAAATAAACAAGGTTATACACAAGCAGGAAGATGCAAAAACATCAGAGCGCCACATAATTTCTGGGAAGGCAAGTCTGGGAGTCTCAAAACAACTTACCAAGTTAACAAAAAAGGAAACCATCACAGTTTTTGGAACTAACATTTTAAGTCAGATGCAACAGTTAGTAAGAAAAGTATAGCCTCAAAAGAAAGATATTTATATATATGTAAGCACACAGTACTGACAATTGAGGGCTTCGTGTAAATAAAAAAAAAAGATAAAAAAGAAAAATGACTATTTCCTACAGCACCAAACACATGCAAACGCATCCGCCAGTTTTATAATTGATACCACGATGAATCAAGAACCGGAACCCAGGCAATCCCTGCTACAATCATTACGTTAAAGCCACCAGCAATAACACCACCACCACCCCTTTTTTTTTTTTTTTTAAAAAAGACATTGCTTGAAAACCAATTATGCAGCTGCCACCAAGTGATTCCCATTGAAGTCAACAGGAGCTGCTCTTATGCAGAGGCCTGTAACAAGGGCCCAAGCATTTACGGTGCTGAAAGCCTTTGTGCCCTAAATCCTAAGTGGATGAAGGCAAGCTATGCAGGGGGCTCATTCAAAATTAATACTACATCAGGAAGTGGATGAGGGAGAGGGAAGGCACTTAATAATTGATCCACAGTTTGTTTTCTGTGAATTCTGAAAGGTCTTTATGTACATGTTTGTTTTGGTTTGCCTTTTTGTGTTTGTTTTTTTCAAGCTAGAGAGTTTTTAAACTAAAGTTCTATTAACAAAACAGAGTGAAATAATGACAAGAGAGCTCCCAAAGAGGCACTTGGATAACAACTGCAGAAAAATATTTACCCTGAAGGCAACATGGAGACAGAATAGAAAACAAGGCAGGTTTTATTCAGACAAAATATGACTAGCTTCTCACTTTCAGAAGATTACATTCTCAACACCTTCTGCTTCATGAATAAGTGGTGTATTCCACTCCTGCTCTTTCTGTGAGAAGTTACAGGTTTCTCTTCTCTCCACCATTTATACAGAAGTCCAATCCCACCCCACAATGCAGACAAAGTCCATCCTTCCAACTTATAAAGGCCTTCAAACTCTTCAAGCTAGGAGTCTAATCCTGCTCACACAAACAATTTGACAACACAGCTACACCAAAATTGTTCTCCCTTGCTCTATAAATGTCATCTGCAGTCATTTCAAGGACATATTACAGTGGCAGATTGGAGCAAGGTAGCCTTTTAGAGTAAATGAAAATCTGACCCTAGTACACTAAGGAGATTTAAACAAAGAACTATCAGAACTTCAGTGAGTACTATTTCTATGATTCTAAATAGTACTCACTGAAGTTCTGATAGGTCTCCAAAGATACAAAAAAGGAGTCCCACCAACTCTCAACTTAAAATACTTCAGATTTTACAGTATGCTTCTAATTAATATAGCAGCAGCAACAACCACCAGCCTCTTAATTTCAGTCCTATACTCCAGCCTCAAGTAACATCACTAAGACCCTGTGCTTCAAGAGCAACAAGCCTTCCATGTGGTTCAAACAGGAGACAGCGCATCCCTCAAGTCTTTGCTGACCATGCCAGTCTCTACCATAGCCCCATCCATTCCACCTCATCTGATTCCACACGGCTCAGTCCTGCAGCAATTGTTTATGAAGCTAAAATGTGAAATTCTTTACATCAGCACCAGAGTTGTTTGTACAGTTTTGATATTCATCAGCCTTATAGTTTGACACATCAACTTTGGAAGGTCTTGCGCCAACACGGAGGCTTGCTGTTTCAAAAGGAGATGCTTGCACATTACACTGAAAGAAGGCACATAATTATGGAAAAAGTTTGTCAAGTAGGAACAAGTGCCTTATGAAATGGTACAAAAAAAGCCAGTGCTGTTTTTTTTACTTCTCCTTCCCATTCTCCTGTGGACTGGTGGCCCCTGTAGAAAGCCCTCTCAGAGCACAGCAGTGATGGCGCTTATCCTGCCCTATCGCATGGATGAGGCGAGGCAGGCGTGTGGCCATCATCTCCCCAAGCAGCAGCTTAGCGGCGGAGCCGAGGCAGGACCCTCTGCCTCTTCACCACCAGCTGACGGTCCCCTCGGGAAGCCGTGTAAGGACAACTTGAGATGCTCCTACAGCTAACTGTCTTCTGCCCGCCCCGATCTGTCACTACCTGGAGGAAGGCAACCTCGTGCTTTCGGAGAGCTCCCCGAGGAGCACCTGCAAAACCCCAGTAGTCCTCCAGTGATGGCAATCCTAATCATCAAAGACCAAATGGTGAGCTCTTCTTCCCCATCTCATTAGCTGCCAACTCCCATAACGTTCACAGATACGTAACATGCATGATGAGGAAACTGGCGTCAGGGAAAAGATCTGACTCTCAAGACCTGCAGCTTTTCTAAGCTGATGACAATGTGAGAATGAACATGTGAACTCCAAATTCGTTTAAAGGAGTGCTCTTGCTTTATAAGATGAAGAGACTCCCCTGCCCAGCCCTGAAAAATAACTGTGAAGCACCAACCTGCTAGAGCCGGTCTGCCATCTTTCCCTGACGAGCAGTCCCTGCCACATTAGCCAGATACCATCAAACACACCACTCGCTATACAAGTAACAGGACGGAGCAAATGTAATGACCGTTTTGTGCCCCATGTTACAGTTCAGCATTTTGTCTTGCTCAACTCTTGACAGAACAACAGGATACACCCTCAGTAACAACATGCCCCTAATATTATACATCACTTAAATATTAGTGGTTGGTTGTAGGACTGGTCAAATTCTGCAAGCAGCATTCTTGACCCTAAATAGTATTCAGCTGATGTGGGGCAAAAAAGGAATTACTGTTTGCCTATAAAGTAGTCAGCCCCAAGATAAATCCTTGGCTACAGCTACAACTGGACATCACATGCTTCTCTACTCTTGCCAAAAATAACCAATAATTTCTTTATTTACTTGCACAACTACATGTACTCTCTTATTTTTCTCTCGCTACTTGTTCCAGTACTTGCAACGCGTGTCTGCTTGATTTTAACCTTTATTTAGGTCCAATTATTGTAATAAAGATTGTTAGGATGCTAAGTCAGAATTTGAATTAATTAATTGAAGAAGACAGAGTTATTGTATGGAAGTACTAAGACCTAACATTGGAGTTACTACTGTAACACCACCAATACTCAGTCTTGTAAGTGATGAAACATACAATTTAGGGGTGGGAAAAAATAGGTGGGTGTCAATGTTAGTAAATTATAGCTCTCAAGAGCCACTCATCACATCTTTTCCTTACTAATTTTATAGATATTAATCAAGCTTCTCTTCACACGTCTCCTAAAAAATAACATCCTACAGAATTATTCATACACATTTTATTAACATATTATTTATTTTAAAAGACTTTG